TTAGAGAGGTCCCTAACAGCAGACTTTCCCATTGCAATACGTTTTTTGATTTCCTGGCTACTGGTGCCAAGAGTGTTGACTGTGGAGCCTAGCAAACTGAAGCTGTGGACAATCTCAATCTCTTTGCCGTCCATCCTGATGCTACCAGTTGGTCCAGTGGTGAGATCTTTGTCTTCTTGACATTGAGTCGCAGTCCATGCTGAAGGCTGCAGTCCTTGACCCTCTGCAGTAAGTGCATGAGGTCTTCCTCAGTTTCAGCGAGCAAAGTTGTGTGTCATCTGCATAACGCAGATTGTTGATAGATCTTCCACCAATCCTAACGCCATGCTTCTCATAGAGCCCAGCCTCTCGGATAATCTGCTCTGCATACAGGTTGAACCATTGAGTGTTGCCCTGCTCTGTTCTGACGACTGCCTCTTGGTCCAAGTATAGGTTTCGCATTAGCACGATTAAATGTTCTAGGATTCCCATTCTTCTCAGAGTCAGCGACAGTTTGTTATGATCCACGCAGTCAAATGCCTTTGCGTAATCAATGAAACACAGATAGACATTCTTCTGGTATTCGGGTTTTATTATAAAATTTAGTCACATTCAAAATTTTAAACCAGGTCTGCTAGGTTTAGTTAAGAAACTTAGGGTATAAAATTTAATCAGTTGAGCTGATTACACTGACAAGATTTGTAAAAATTCGTTGTAATTAAATAACACTTCCTGCTGTTTCTATTTCAGGGGTGTTGAGGCCAAGCAGCCAAATTCTGCCATTAGAAAGTGTGTCAGAGTCCAGCTCATTAAGAACGGCAAGAAAATCACAGCCTTCGTGCCTAATGATGGATGCTTGAATTTTATTGAGGTAAATTCTTGGGAAAATGAGTCTGATAAATAGATTGATATTTTTTTGTGATGCCATTGCACTATTTCTTAGTTTAAATGGGAATTTATATGAGTGCTTATTTCTCATTTGTCACTGACATAAAATGTTCTTTCGCAGGAAAACGATGAAGTTCTTGTTGCTGGATTTGGTCGCAAAGGTCATGCTGTTGGTGACATTCCTGGAGTCCGCTTTAAGGTTGTCAAAGTGGCCAATGTATCTCTTTTGGCCTTATACAAAGGCAAGAAGGAACGACCAAGATCTTAAAGTTTGAAAATGTCATACTAATAAATTTCTATATGCCAGAAATGTGTTGGTCTTATTTTCTCATCTGGCACAAAGTAGTGTTGTGCTTGCTTACCAGCTTTAAGAGAAGGAGCGTTCTTGGAAGAAAATGGAATCTTTGGGATAGGACTGTGCTGTTCTACTATAGAAATCTTCATAGGTAAAGCAGTCAGAAAAATGTAAACAACTGCTTAAACCGAGAAATTGGGCATTGGATTTGGCTTGAAGATAGGAATGTGCCAAGCAAAATGTGACTTTAAGAGTTTGTAGAGAAGGGAGACCTTTTTTAGGCTGTGTCATAAATTTGTCAGTTGATTGCTTCTGACTATAAAAAGGTAGATGGTCCTTTGTCATTTAAGTATGGAGATGATTGACGGCAATGTTGAAGCTGGAATTTTAGTATGTAAGTATTCACTGTCCAGTTTTCTATGCGAAGATACTTTCTTTCAAATTACATTTAAATTCGTGGTTTAAGGAGCTACATTGATTTACTAAATGACTAAAGCCTGGCATGGTATACCTCCTTGTATACCATAATTTACAAGTAGAAAACTTGTATTCTCATTCTCAAAGAGTTGAGATAAATAGTTGCTGTAGCATAGATGATTTCTTAATGCTTTATTTATTTTCAGGAGTCAAATTGGTTTGTCATAAGTCCTTGTTGGACATTTCTCTTTACAGCATTAATAATACACTAATAAATGCCTACTGCCCCCAGCTCATGTCTCTTTAAGCACATGAATCTTTGCTGTTTTCCCTTATTTAACCTATACTTAAAATTTAATACCCTCTCTTTTCTGATAACACTGATGCTAAATCTGCTGCTGCTCTTCTGCCTCAGTATTTTTTCTCACCCAGTTTTGAGCTGCTGTTGTTTTTTTTTTTTGAGGTAGTCATTTCTTCATCAGGCCTCATTGCAAACTTCACATAGTTTGCCTCATTCTTCTCCTATAAGATACATCGGGTACATTCACTAATTGTGTAATTATTTTGACTCCTAGAGTGAAAACTAAGGGCAGTTAATGGGGATGAGGATGGTATACTGTGGGCCTAGGCCCTACAGCAGAAATCCTTTGAGAATCCCTTTTCACTTGGTAAACAGTACAACAGCTAAATGGTTGCCAAATTAACCTTAGTATTTCCCACCCCCAATCCAGTGTGGCAAAACTATGTTGTCTAAACTGATTTCATTCATGTGTGTATAGGTAACCAAGATCCCTTCAATGAGGTACCACTGTGGAAAATGTGCTTAAAAATTAAAGTCTTATTATTGAGGAGATAGAGCCATGAGTTCCCTGGGCCTAAATGCCTTGGCATACATGTTTAGCAGTACTAGCTTGTACATTATGTGTCAGACAAGGAGTTCTAGTGATAGTGGTGTCCATAAGGAGTTGTACTGCTAACCTACAAGCTTGCTCCCCCCCCCCAGGTCAAATCCTCTAATTAGCAGCTCCAAGGGAAAAATAGCTGTTTACAGCCTTGCAAGCCCACTAGAGGGTCTGTTTTTGAGCTAATAATGTCAGTGAGGGATTCCAAGATTTATGTCATGAATCTTAAAGCTTGTTGGGTTGAGCTTCATCAAAACAGCCCTATAAGTATGGTCATAAGATGATTGAAACACTAGAGGAAATACTTTTAAATCACCCTGCAAATAATCAAAAGCTATAAATTCTAAACTTTGTAGTAAAACATTTCCTTCAGGAAAACTATTACCACTTGAACAGACTTCACCCTAGAGACATGGCAAATAGACATTGTACTCACATTTCTAAGTCCCAAGGTGGGAAAATTGTCCTTTTCCTTCTAAAAGCTGGTAGTTCCAGTGAGTTTAGTCTTGACAAAAGAAACTATATCTGAGGGGTGTTTTGTTTTGTTTTTTTTTAAGTATTATACTGGTTTATTTAAAAAATTCCTATACTTTGGGTTTTATACTGGATCTTGACCCACCCCTCCCTTCACCAAATTGTGTGACCTTATAGGGGCTTCACCCCTTCCTGCCTTGGATCCTCATGCTATATGTTTTATAGTAATGGTCGTATGCAATATTTGTCCTTACGGGGCTGAGTTCACTCATGACAAGTGTCCAGCTGCAATGGAATAGATTGAACAGTTTATTTTACATTAACATAATGGAATACTACATACCTCACAGGAGCAATGATTTTGTAAATTACTACCCAACTTGAAAAAGACTGAAGATCTGAATCTTTAAAATTTGGATGGTTGGTCCAGAATAGGGAAAATCAAGAAGGAAACCTTGGAACTGTAAATGAACGAGTATGATGCATGAAATTGGATTATTAGGACTATGAGGAGTTACCTTTTGAGCCAAGCACTACTGTCCAACTGAGCCAAAGGACTTGGTTGCTATTCAGTGAGCATGCTGAGCTTGTTTTCTAAGCAGGATCCTGAATAGGAGGGATCTGACCTGTAATTTTTCATGGTCCATCTCGTCCATATTTTTAAAATGTGCTCCTTTCTTGACCATGACTGAAGTGAGCTGTTGAAGCCTGTCTCAAACTCTAATAACTTCATGGAAGAATGTCCCAGTGAGCTACTTTAATGGAAGGAGAAATTAGCCAGGAAACATTATTGCACATTTACACCAACACATGGGATTGATAAAAGTGACAACTGGGTTGGGGTTGGTTAAGTGCCTTTGAGTGGCTTGCTGCTCATAGCAGCCCTATGTACAAAAGTTCTGAAGCCTTCCCTGTCTTGAACCAGTTTCACTGACTCGGACACACCTACCCAATTTCCCCAGTTACTGTATCATTCCATCTCATCTGGGGGTTTCCTCTACTCAACTGTACCTCCACCCTTCTGAGCATCACCAATCTCCAATGATTTGTTCCTCCTGACCATGTGTGCAAAATATGTGAGATGGAACTTCAAAATCCATGCCTCCAAGGAGAAACTTGGTTTCACCCTATGACCTATTTTCTTGACGGTCTTTAGGACTCTTCTCCAGCACCTCAACTCAAAGGCATCAATCCTTTTGTCATCCTTAGTCATTACCCAGCTCTCTGATAGACAACAAGTAATTGCAAAGACCCTGGCACGGACCATGGCACCTTTGTCTCTAGACTGACAGTTTTACTCCTCAGTAATCTAAAGAGGTCCCTTACAGCAGCAGATTTTCCCAGTGCAATTTGTCTTTTGATTTCTTGACTGCTGGTGCTAAGAGAGTTGATTGTGGAGCCAAGCAACCTGTAATTATTAACCATTTCAGTCTCTTCTCCATTTATCATGGTGCTGCCAATTGGCCCAGTGGTAAGAATATTTGTCTTCTTGATACTGAGCTTCAATCCACATTGAAAACTACAGTCCTTGACCAACTGTAGCAAGCACTTCAGGTCATCTTCAATTTCAGCAAGCAAGGTTGTGTCATCTGCATAATGCCAGCTTTTGGTGAGACTTTAAAAACTAGGTATATTCATTAGAGGAGGTCTCATGGTGTAGACTGTAGAGAGCTGGCTGCCAAACCCAAATCCACCTTGCTCCATGAAAGATTAATGTCCTGTTTCCTCTTGGATAATTTATAGCCTCTGATAATTTGGGAAAGTCAGCTATGATTTCACTCTGATTCAATGGTGTGTAAGTACCAGTGAGAAAGTAGAGCAACTGAATCTTCTTTGTCGCTGGTGGGAGTAAAAGTATAGCCAGCCTACATGTGTGGTAGGCTCTTCTACAATAAAACCTAGCAGTTGCACTTCTCAGTATCTAGCCTAGAGAAGTGAAAAGTGTCCACACAAAGACCTGTATGCAGATGTTGTGTCAGCGGTAGCTTTAACAGTAATAGAACATGTTGGTAACAAATGGTCCGCATACCACACAGGTACATCTTAATAAAACTCAGTACTCCTGTTTATTATTTGGAACTGACTTAACAACTGTCTCTTTTTACTAAGTTCCCAGATGGTCTGGCTATCCATATACTTCCCTCACTAAAGGAAACTACATCTTTTAAGTATTTTAGATGTAATTTGGCCAAATAATTGGCACAGCTGAAATCAAAACTATGGTCTATATGATGATTTCTAAATTAAATTTGCTCAGTTTAACAGTTTAATCTGTTGTTGCAAAACAACATACTGGTGTCTTACACAGGTGATACAATCAACAACTTGGATCATACAGATGCAGAAAACCTTGCTTGCAGAAAGTGAAGTTGGTATGTGCCATCAAGTCGCTTGTGACTCGTAGTGACACTACAGCACCTCTGAGCGCTGCTTTAGTCTGAGTCACCCTTACCATCACTGACACGCCTACCCCCATCCCCCAGTCACTGAATCAGTCCAACTCATCTAGCGTCTTCCTCTCTTGCACTCTCCCTCCACTCTCACAAGCATGATGTCCCTCTTCAAGGAGATGGATTGACATCTTAGGAATTGTGAGGATGGCACAGGATAGGGCAAGGCTCAGCACCTAACAACAAAAACACTGGAATAGCCTTTCTTGGAGACTTAGAAGTCCTTCTCTAGGGTCTGGTCCCTCCTGATAACACACTCCAAAAATGAGAGACAAAGTCTCACCATCCTTGGCTTCAAAATCTATTTGTTCTTTGGGCAATTCCTGACATGTTTTTATCAGGTGAGGTTGGGTCAGTACTAACTCAAAGCTAATCCTCTAGTGGGTTTTCAGAGACAGTAAACCACATAGGAGAGTATTGCTGCTTTATCCACTAGTGCATCTGGTGGAGTCAAACCAGCATGCCTTTGAGTTGGCACCACACCAGTAGGTCACCAGAGCTATTCAATGTTTCTCATCATAATCACAAATTAAAAGGCTTCAAGTCTATACACTTTCCTATTTCATTATCCAACTTTCACGTGTACATAAAGATTGGTTAGGCTCATCAAAGTGACATAATTTCCAGTTCTTTAGGAAAATGTGTTGTAGTAGGATACAGCTATAAAAGTAATGAAGATAATTTTCTTTGAGTCCATTCCAAGTTTCAGAATAGCTACTATTTCTTTGAGGGAGCTCTTGTAGAGTAATCCGTAGGGAAATGTAACCCAAGG